TCATTGTTGTTTGGCAGGCCCATGCTAGATTTGAACCTGCCAGCTCAGATGTATGTGGCTGGTGCCTTAGCCGCTTGAGCCACAAGCACTGAGCCATCCATATTTATTTATTTGAACATTAAAAGTAGTAATTATAGAAGTATAAAAATCCCACTGCATATAGTTTTAGCCAATAAACATTGTTCATAATCCATCCATTCTAACAACTGTTAGCATTTTAAATACTTCTTTTTGCCGGGCATGATGGCTCATGCCTATAATCCTAGCACTCTGGTAGGCCAAGGTGGTGGACTGCTTGAGCGCAGGACTTTGAGACTACTCTGAGTGAGAGTGGGAATCCATCTCTAAAAATAGCCAGTCATTGTGGTGGGTGCATTTAGTCCTAGCTACTAAGAAGGCTGAAGCAAAAGGATCTTGAGCCCAGGAGTTTAAAGTTATCATGAGCTATGACACCACAGCAATCTACCAAGGATGTCAAAGTGAGACTTTGTCTCAAAAATATTTCCTTTTAATTTTTCCCTTCTATATCATTTCAAATTTGCATAATTTTTATCACTATTTTAACCTACATTATCTCAAGCATTTGCCTATGTTGCTATATAGTCTCTATGATTGTCATTTTAATGACTACATATTAATGGTAAATGGTAAATTACTTCCCACATTATTGAGAATTATGGCATTTACAACACTGCTACAAAATAGTTCTCTGTGATGTGCTTTTTCCTCTTAGTAGTTGGGATTTGGGGAATGGTGGAGCAGTTGTGAGAGATGCTAAGCAATGAGGCTGCCATAATTCTACATAGTCATTAGCACAAAGACATTACAGGACTAGCATAATGATGATCTTGACATATGAAGAGAAAAAGTAAACTATATAGAAATATTTCAGAAAGACTCCAATCCAAAATGGCTAATAGTTAAGTTTTCTATTCAAAGGAGTAAGTTTTATAACAAATTAGATTCATATTTCACAAATGTGGCTCATTTAGCACATCTGGACAAGGCATTGCACATTTTCACTAACTTCCAAAACAGAATCTTTTGGGCCACATTACTAAAGTTCACTTTTTCACTATAATACTAACCTGATATTATTTACACAGTCTTCATGAGCTTCAGAAAGTGTTTTTATGTGCTTTGAAGATATTGGGTCAAAAAGCAGAACTTCAGTTTGTTCACAAGCAACTGTCAGCACTGACCTGAAAGCAAATGATACATTTCTTTTATTTAGTTTTCTAGCATTCTCTGGTTATTGATATTTTATTTATAGCAATTAAACAAGCTTTAAATAATTTTTTTGCTCATATGAGTAGCAAATATTTAAAAGATTTATACTATTCAAGGTTGAAAAGAATAGTAGAGACTGAGTCTCTACTTTTTCCTTTGTAGAGACTGAGTCTCTACTTTTTCCTTTGTAGAGACTGAGTCTCACTTTATTGCCCTTGGTAGAGCACCATGGCATCACACAGCTCATAGCAACCTCCAACTCCTGGGCTTAGGCAATTCTCTTGTCTCAGCCTCCCGAGTAGCTGGGACTATAGGCGTCTGCCATAATGCCCGGCTAGTTTTTTGTTGCAGTTTGGTTGGGGGTGGGTTTGAACCCGCCACCCTGGGTATATGGGGCCTTACCCATTGATCCACAGCCACCGCCCAATGGTACTCTTTTATACATTATGGTGTAAATGACTATAGATTATGTTTTGAGAGCACCTCTAAAGTATCAAATGTTTACATGGGCATATCTTTTGACTCAGCAATTTTGGGGGGAATTTAATTTAGACAAATAATCATTTATAAACACAAAGAAACAAATATAAAGATATGCTTCATTGTAAAAAGAAGAAATTAAAAGTAACAAATGAACATGAAAGAAGGAATGACTGATTAACTCTTGATACATAATAATTTGAAATGCTGTGCAAAAGTTAAAAAAGAAAAGGGGAGGTTTATATGGATATAAAAGAACTCTGTAAGATATTTTTAAATGAGAAAAGTTGGGTGATGGCTACACTAAAAGCCCAGACTTCACCACTATACAGTATATCCATGTAACAAAACTGTACTCATAGCCCCTAAATCTATAAATGTAACGGGAAAAAAATGAGAACAGTTGGTTACCAAAAAGCATGCATAGTTTAGACACATTGGGGAGAAAAATCATATACCACTAAACAATAAATTTCTTCATCAGTATCTATCAAATACACTTACTGGAAAATGTTTAATCTATGTGTTATCAGACCAGTTAGATATAGTTAAATTTATCAATCTCTTCTTTTATAGATTTTTTAGCTTTCTCTCTTGTTTTAGGCCTTCCCTATTTCAAAACTATATTTTCATAAACCTGTACAAATCTCATTTTGATTTATGAAAATCTATTTTTTTTTAATTAAGTCTTAGGTGTCTGTGGGTAGTAGTCTTTCAGATTCAGATCTAGCAAATGAAATTCTGAATCTTGACAGGGTGAGGGAGCTCACACCTCTGGGAGGCAGAGGCAGATAGATTGCTTGAGTTCAGGAGATCAAGACTAGTTTAAGCAAGAGCAAGATCTCATCTCTAGTAAAAATATTAAAAAACTAGCTGGGTGTCATGGTGGGCGCCTATAGTCCCAGCTACTCCAGAGGCTGAGGCAAGAGAATTGCTTGAGCCTAAGATTTTGAGGTTGCTGGAAGTTATGATGCCACAGCACTCTACCCAAGCTGACCGAGACTGTGTCCTCAAAAAGAAAAAGAAGAAATCCTGAGTCTTTGAAACCTCAAGGCTTCCCAATTTACAGATCCAATAATAAACAAAATCTTAAGCATGTAAAATGAAAGTACAGAAGATAGATGTTTAGATAGCTCAACTTTTCTATTTATAACAAACTTTTTTTAAAGAGAGAGAAATAAAAACATCTATTAACTTGAAATCTTTCCCACATTTAGCAATCATGGAATTGTCCTTTAAAATATATCTGCATAAACCCTTTGCTGAGATAGATGGACTTCCAAGTTTAAAAATATTTTCAGAATTTTTATGTTAGTTGGTCATCATGAATAAAAATAGTAAAATTAATGCCTGTAATTTTGAAGATATATAAATAGCTATTTCTTTTTGAGTCAGACAAACCCTGAAATGAACTTTTCTCCTTTTGTGCATAAGTAAATGAATCAATAATTCTGGGAGATTCTTTTTTATTTTTTTGGACATGGAGTCTCACTTCCTCACCCTCGGTAGAATGCCATGGTTTTAAAGCTCACAGCAACCTCAAACTTTTGGGCTCAAGCGATTCTCTTGCCTCAGACTCCCAAGTAGCTGGGACCACAGGCGCCCCCTACAGTGCCTGGCTATTTTTAGAAATGAGATCTCGCTCTGTCTCAGGAAGATCTTGAACTGCTGAGCACAGGCAATCCACCCACCTTGGCCTCCCAGAGCGATAGGATTACAGATGTGAGCCACCGCACCTGGCCTTCTGGGAGATTCTTAATCTTAAACATTGTAAATAAGACATCTATAAAACTGGTAGCTATTGTTTTAATACAATTATGTGTTTGTAAATGGTATGACATATATTAACATATTTTTCATGGATATAATTTGTCCCAATATCACAGCCTACCCTTTTCTCAGTAGTTTGTAATGCTATCTTTATCATATGTACGTTTTGTTTTTGGATTCCACTGCATTCTATACAATACCACATTATCTAAATTTGTAAAATGACTTTATAGTATATGTGCTATGTGGCAAAACGTAAGTCTTCCTTACTTGCTTTAAAAACACTTGTTGTAGGCTAATACCACGCTTTCTCTTCAAATAAATTCTATAAATAGCATGTCAAGTCCTGCTCAAACATGTTGTTGAGATTTTTATCGGAATGCAGTGATTTCTTGGTTAGAATTTATATCATATGCTATTAAGTCACCTCATACAGTGATGTGAACACTTTCCCACATTCAAGATTTTCTTAGCAAGAGCACCTTAGCAATTCTTCAATTTTTGACCAACCTTATACATCAATTTACCAATTTAGTACACATTCACACAAAATTCTGTGGCAGATTTTAACTGAAATTGTATTAAATCTACAGCAAAGTGTGGATAGTATCAATATCTTTACAATATGGAGTCTTCGAATCCATAAGCACACCATAGCTCCGTTTATTTAAATCTATAATTCTCTCAATAAGTCATGCCTATTTTTTGTTAGACTTATTCTTGGGTACTTGATATATTTTGTATGTTTTTCTAATTTTTTTTTTTTTTAAATTTTGCTTTGTTCTATAATCCTAGCACTTTGGGAGGCCGAGATGGGCAGATGGCTTGAGCTAAGGAGTTTGAGACCAGCCTGAGCAAGAGTGAGACCCCATGTATAAAAACAGCTGGGCATTGTGGTGGGAGTCCGTAGTCCCAGCTACTTGGGAGGCTGAGGCAAGAGAATCTTGAGCCCAGGAGTTTGAGGTTGCTGTGAGCTATGACCCAAGGGCACTCTACCAAGGGCACTCTACCAAGGGCAACATAGTGAATCTGTCTCAAAAAAAAGATAAAAAATTTTTGTAGCTTGGCACCCACAGCACAGTAGTTATGGCGCCAGCCACATACACAGAGGGTGGCAGGTTTGGAACCTGGGCCAGCTAAGCAAAAATGACAATTACGACAAGAAAATGGCCAGGCATTGTAGTGGGCACCTGTAGTCCCTGCTATTTGGGAGGCTGAGGCAAGAGAATCGCTGAAGCCCAAGGGTTAGAAGTTGCTGTTAGCTGTGATAACACCGCACTCTACCAAGGGTGACATAGTGAGACTCGTCTCAAAAAAAGAAATTTTTTTTTTTGCTTTATTGCTAGTATACAGAAATGTGATTGTCAAATATCAATTATTCATCAATTGTTAACTATTTTAATACCTTATAGATTATTTCAGATTTTCTTTGTTGACAATATCATCTACAAACAACTGCTTTGTTCTTTTCTTTTCAGACAGAATGTCATTCTATTGCCTCAGCTAGAGTGCAAGTGACATCTGCCTACCTCATAGCAACCTCAAACTCATGTACTCAAGAGATCCTCCTGTCTCAGCCTCCTGAGTAGCTAGAAATATAGGCCATATTAGCTGCCATGATGCCCAGCTAATATTTCTATTTTTTGTAGAGACACGGTCTCACTCTTGCTCAGACTCATCTCAAACTCCAGAGCTCACACAATTCTCCCAGAGTGCTAGGATTAACTGTGCCCAGCCACTTTGTTCTTCTAAAAAACTTTTTTCCTTCTCTGCTTCTTTGCTGCACTGGCTGGGACTTTCAGAATAATGTTAACTAGAAACATAAATAGCAGGCATTCTTGTCTTGTTCCTAATTTCCAAGAATATATTCAACCTTTCAGCATTAAGTAAAATGTTTGCTGTAGATTTTTTTGATAAATTCCTATCATTGGATTAAGGGAATTTATCTTCTACTTCAATTTTGCTAAGTTCCCCCCCCATGAATACATGTCAAACAGTCATGCTTTCCACCATTTTTAATGTTTTTCACCATTTTTATTGATATTCCTATATTTTTTCTTTAATACATTGTTGTATGATTTACATTATTTTCTAAATTCAAATCAATCTTTTATTTCTGTAACAGTGCTATATTCAGTTGGCTAATATTTTGTTTAAGTTTATCCTATCTATGTTCTTATGGTAATTTTGCTTTCTTGTGCTGTTCTTATCAGGTTTTGTGTAAAGCTTATGCTAATACCATAAAATGAGTTGAAGACTTGTTATTTTATGCACTAAAATAGTTTGTATAAATTAGAATTATTTATTTCTCTTAAGTTTGATAGTACTTATAGTACTAGTCTATAAAATGATCTAGACCTAACTACTGATGCAGTATTAATGACTGGCACTAACTAAGCTTTCTAATCTTTTATTATCATCTGTTTTGGTAATTTCTACTTTTCTAGGAATTAGCCTGCATAACAGAAGTTGAAAATTTCATTGGCATAAAATCATTCACGATATCTTCTATTTCTAAGCTTTTTTATGTTTTTTTTTTTTTTTTGAGAGTTTCATTATGTCACCCTTGGTAGAGTTCTGTGGTGTCCCAGCTCACAGCAACCTCAAACTCCTGGGCTCAAGTGATTCTCTTGCCTCAGCCTCCCAAGTAGCTGAGACTATAGGCACCGGCCACAATGCCCAGCTATTTTTTGTTGCAATTGTCATTGTTGGTTAGCTGGCA